CAGGTTTTCATCAAGGATGTCTCTGTACCTTGCTGCATTCATCTTTCCCTCGATCCTGACTAGTCTCGCAGTTCCTGCCGCTGAAAAACATCCCCACAGCATGATGCTGCCACCACCAAGCTTCACTGTAGGAATGGTATTGGCCAGGTGATGAGCAGTGTCTGGTTTCCTCCAGACATGACGCTTGCCATTCAGGCCAAAGAGTTCAATCTTTGTTTCATCAGACCAGAGAATTTGGTTTCTCATGGTCTGAGAGTCCTTCAGGTGCCTTTTGGCAAACTCTGTCATGGCTGTCATGTGCATTTTACTGAGGAGTGGCTTTCGTCTGGCCACTCTACCATACAGGGCTGATTGGTGGAGTGCTGCAGAGATGGTTGTTCTTCTGGAAGGTTCTCCTCTCTCCACAGAGAAACGCTGGAGCTCTGTCAGAGTGACCATCGAGTTCTTGGTCACCTCCCTGACTAAGGCTCTTCTCCCCCGATCACTCAGTTTGGCCGGGCAGCCCGCTCTCGGAAGTCCTGGTGGTTCCAAACTTCTTCCATTTACGTATGATGGAGGCCACTGTGCTCATTGGGACCTTCAATGCTGCAGAAACTTTTCTGTACCCTTCCCCAGATCTGTGCCTCGATACAATCCTGTCTCGGAGGTCTACAGACAATTCCTTGGACTTCATGGCTTGGTTATGTGCTCTGACATGCACTGTTAACTGTGGGACCTTATATAGACAGGTGTGTGCCTTTCCAAATCATGTCCAATCAACTGAATTTAACACAGGTGGACTCCAATCAAGTTGTAGAAACTTCTCAAGGATGATCAGTGGAAACAGGATGCACCTGAGCTCAATTTTGAGTGTCATGGCAAAGGCTGTGAATACTTATGTACATGTGATTTTTTTCGTTTTTTAATTTTAATGAATTTGCAAAGATTTCAAACAAACTTCTTTCACGTTGTCGTTATGGGGTACTGTTTGTAGAATTTTGAGGAAAATAATGAATTTAATCCATTTTGGAATAAGGCTGTAACATAACAAAATGTGGAAAAAGTGAAGCACTTTAAATACTTTCCGGATGCACTGTATTTTGTAACGTTATAAACAGGGTTTGAAATTAACACCCGCCAACCCGCCAAATGCGGGTAAAAATCAGCTGTGGCGGGTAACTCTGTCAAATCACTAGCCAATTTGGCAGGTTACTTTTCGTAAATTATGTTTACTAATTAATTTCTTGAGGAAGTTCATGTAAGCCAAATCTGCACAGATTTAGAGTAAATACTGAACTCGAGACTCATCGTGATATATTAAATAAGCCTAATTGCACAGCATCTGGGCATATCTAGCTTACTTGAACATACCCAGCGATGTAGCTACTAGCCATCGGGAGCACTGGGACATTCCCGGTGGGTCGATCGCCGAAGCGGGGGAGACCTTATATTAGGCGCTGTTTTTAAATTACAGCCCACGCGAAACTGCAAAAACCAAGTAGCCTACTCCAAAAGTGTGCTAACGTTACCCGGTGCATCCGCCAGCCGCGCGTTAAAATAAAACTTAAAATAACTTAATAAATAACAAAACGTTTAATAGTATCTCAGTGATACTAAAATAATACTGCGTTACAGTCACTTTTGGTCAACTTGATTCATCTTTGCGGAATAAAAGTATTAATTTATTTAAAATAATAATAATAATATTAATAAATAAATACAATACAATTTTGCTGACCCCAAACTTCTGAACAGTAGTGTTATATGTAAGTGATCAATTTGCTAGTATTACAGTACCATATCATTCATTCATTCATTTATTCATTCATTTACTTATTTATTTATTTGGATTAAAAAAAATATTAGAGGATTTTATTTATTTTTATTTTTTTTTTACTTTATTAAAAGTTTTTTTTTATTATTGCTATATGGCAATATTGGATACTTGATTATTTATGGTCATCTAATGCTCAATTCAAGTAAATCCTAAAAACACTAATAATTTTAATGTTAAATGTAAATCTTCAGCAAATCTCAAAATAAATATAAACATTATAAATATTTACATATAAAGTTATGCCTAAATTTTCAGTTTTTAGTGCTTTTATTCTTTTCTTGATTTCTTTTTATTTCTCTTTTTGTAGTATTTTTAATACTCATATCCATTTACCAGTTGTTGACAATAACATTAAAATGATCAGCTTATCAGTATCAGCCAAAATTTCAAAATTTGTGCATCTCTAGTATAAACAAAATATATAATATAATGTAATATAGTTAGGATCATGTATCAAAACTGTTAGGAGTAAGAACAACAGATGTAATCCTATCCCTTCTATAAAACGCATTTCTGTCAGGCAGAGATGATCTTGTCCGGTAACTTAAAAATTTAGTAGCCAAATTGGCTGGTGAGTGAAAAAGTTAATTTCAAACCCTGATTATAAATGTCTTTACAGCAGGGTTATTATAGTTAACTAAAACTAAAACTGAAACTGAAATTAAAACCATAAAAAAAACATTTTGGTTACTACAATAAAAAAGAAAGTTGAAATGTAACTTTAATTGAATAAAGTTAAATAAAATAAAATAAATGTTTAAAAAAAAATCTTCTTTCAGCTAGTCGCCAAGGCAACATTTTAATTCAGTTGTACTTGATGTACTAAAATTACTAAAACTAAAACTGAAATAAAAAAGAAAAATCTTTTTGTAGTATTTTTAATACTCATATCCATTTACCAGTTGTTGACAATAACATTAAAATGATCAGCTTATCAGTATCAGCCAAAATTTCAAAATTTGTGCATCTCTAGTATAAACAAAATATATAATATAATGTAATATAGTTAGGATCATGTATCAAAACTGTTAGGAGTCAGAACAACAGATGTAATCCTATCCCTTCTATAAAACGCATTTCTGTCAGGCAGAGATGATCTTGTCATTGAAAGTTGTATCATGTAGGGTGGCCAACCTAGTGTGTTCACAGTGACGACCTCGCTGAACGGGCCCATCCCCAGTTTGTTCTGGGCCAGGACACTGAATTGGTAGGCCGTCTCGGACACTAGGCCTTGCACCAGGAGCCAGTGCTGCCCGCTGGGCACAGGCATGGACAGCCAGTCATGCGGTCCTAACTGCTCCCTCTTCACCCTGCAGGAGGAGTCACATGCACAGATGGAAAGAGTTCAGCACGGCACAAGCATACATGCACATACGCTCCGATAATGATTGCCATGTCGCTCACAATACTGAAGAGAGCACTGCCTGCAGCTAGACGCAAAAAGACAGCTTGTTTGGCTCAGTGTGAGTGTTCAGTGATATCCAATAACACAAAACTGTCTCACGCTTTCCCAGTGGAAATTCTGAAGAATGCAACTGCGTTTTCGACTGCTGAACAAAACTATCCTCATAGATCTTCATTGTGCCTTGTATGCCCTACAGCCCTTTTTCCCTTTATCTCTTGAGAATGACCTATGGCTTGAAATGAGTCTTATGGACAATACCTCTCCAATAGAAATACAATGTTGTGGAGAAGTGGAGAAGTGATTTTTTTATGTTGATAATGTATTGTTAGCCTTAGAGTGTGACATCATGTCCTGTTGCACATATCCATTGCAAGTAGTTTTGCATGCTCAAAGTTTCGTGTTACTGCACCTACAGCCAGCATGCTTCATTCCTGATAAACTGCTGCCCTTGGCATGCATGGAATGACTCCCACGGGACGTCCAGGCTAAATTCACGCTGAAATTCTTCGACCTCCATCGTACCCAAGCAACACGAGGACACCATGCATGCCCCCCTTCAGTACATTATTATATATTTATATTTTATTTAAAATAAACCGTCTCTCCAAGGACTGACTAAACATACATGGTGTCTTTGTTCACCATAAACTTTAAAGGATGATTCTGTGAGAACTGACATGTTTTTTCAACTATCTATCTTACTATTCAGACTTTGTCTTAAAATATGAAAATCCATCATGAAAATATTAATTCATGTTAAAAAAGCTGTTCACCTTAACAGAATTGAAATAAACAAATAATATGTATAATATAAAGAACAATAAAAATAATAATAATAAATAATATTACATTAAAATTAATTCTAGTTTTATATATTTTTTTCAATTGTTAATTTATAACATTAGAAATATATAATTCATTTTCACACCCAAAAATTTTAATGTTTATAATATATACAGTGGTGTGAAAAAGTGTTGGCCCCCTTCCTGATTTCTTATTTTTTTGCATGTTTGTCACACTTTAATGTTTCAGATCATCAAACAAATTTAAATATTAGTCAAAGATAACACAAGTAAACACAACATGCAGTTTTTAAATGAAGGTTTTTATTATTAAGGGAAAACAAAATCCAAAACTACATGGCCCTGTGTGAAAAAGTGTTTGCCCCCTA